CTCCTCCTTCCGCCTCGTAGACGGCAAGCCCCCTCCGCGCCCCAAGTTCGGTCCTCGATGGCGCTTCCAGAACCGCCCTCAGCTCCCCCAGCGCCGGGACGAGGATCGGCTCTACCACATGCACCACCGATCCAATCAGAACAACCCTAACGCGAACGCCCATCACAATAGGCGAGATTCGCCGACGATGAAGTCGAGTGTTGATATCCAGCCGGAGTGGACCATGCTCGATCAGATCCCCTTCTCGACGTTTACTAAGCTTTCGTTCTCGGTCCCTGATCAGCCTCGGCTCTACCACATGCACCACCGATCCAATCAGAACAACCCTAACGCGAACGCCCATCACAATAGGCGAGATTCGCCGACGATGAAGTCGAGTGTTGATATCCAGCCGGAGTGGACCATGCTCGATCAGATCCCCTTCTCGACGTTTACTAAGCTTTCGTTCTCGGTCCCTGATCAGCCTGAGGACCTCCTTGTTTGTGGTGCCCTAGAGTACTATGATCGGTCCTTTGATCGTATCAATCCGAAGAATGATCGAAGGCTTGAGAGGTTCAAGTCGAGGAATTTCTTCAAGGTTACGACTACTGATGATCCGGTGATCCGTAGGCTTGCGAACGAGGATAAAGCTACTGTCTTTGCGACGGATGCTATACTTTCAGCTCTGATGTGTGCTCCGAGATCGGTCTATTCGTGGGATATTGTGATTCAGAAGGTTGGGAATAAGTTGTTCTTCGATAAGCGAGATGGGTCGCAATTGGATCTGTTGTCGGTTAATGAGACTTCGCAGGAGCTTCTGCCAGAGGCGAAGGAGGATATAAACTCGGCCCATTCACTTGCCATTGAAGCTACTTACATCAATCAGAACTTTTCTCAGCAGGTTCTTGTGAGAGATGGCAACAAGATGGCCTTTGAGGAGCCAAACCCATTTGCTTCTGAAGGAGAAGAGGTTGCTTCAGTGGCTTATCGTTACCGCCGATGGAAGCTTGATGATGATATGTTCTTGGTCGCTAGATGCGAGGTTCATGCTGTTTCTGATGTGAAGGGGCAGAGGTCGTTCTTCACACTGAATGCACTCAATGAGTTTGATCCAAAGTATACTGGCGTTGATTGGAGGCAGAAGCTTGAAACCCAGAGAGGGGCTGTTCTTGCAACTGAGCTCAAGAACAATGCGAATAAGCTCGCTAAATGGACTGCTCAGGCTTTGCTTGCGAGTGCGGACATGATGAAACTTGGTTATGTTTCTAGGATTCACCCGAGAGATCACTTTAATCATACCATTTTGAGTGTTGTCGGGTATAAGCCAAGGGACTTTGCTGCTCAGATCAATTTGAACACTTCGAACATGTGGGGTATTGTGAAGTCAATTGTTGATCTATGCATGAAGCTTAATGAGGGGAAGTATGTGCTTGTGAAGGATCCTGTGAAGCCTCAGGTGAGGCAGTGCCGGAGGAGGAGCAAGTTCAGCCGCCTGCAGAGGAGGAGTCCGCAGAGAAGGTTATGGATGCTGTTGCTGAGGCAGAGGCAAATGGTGATGAGGGTCAGACTGAGAAGGAGGCAGCACCAACCGCCACCACTTGAGGGGTATCTGCACTGTCCTTTTAATTGCACTGGTTGAGACTTGAGAGTATTGGACTTAGCCTTATGTTTCAGTCTTTCAGATATATTTTATTGTTGAGGATTTTGAGTTGTGGTACTTTGCTTGTGTTGTGTGGTATAGCTGAGTTTAAGGTCAGAACTTTTTGGTTATTTCAGACTTTATATCATAAGTAACTACCGTAATTATATTTTTCTTTTCTGATTAAGTTTTTGTTTTGTTTAGTTATTATATATAGACTAAGCCTGTGAATTGATTATCCATTTTCCAGCATGCCACAGAGCACATATGCGCTTCTTTCTCATGTCTAGCTGAAGATATTTTTTTAATTGGCATGAAGCACAGGAGTCCACACTATATCCTAGCAATATTAGATATTCCTTGTAAAAGACCCAAAATGGAATCTTTTAACCTTTTGTTACATAATGCACTAGTTAGTTCACCTATGGGCCATATTATTCATTAATATCAAATTTTTAGTTGATGCTGTTAGAGCCTTGTGGTTTGGGTGCTTTTAACACTTATATTTCTATCCATCCAATCCCGAAACCCAAATGTCTATTCCCTATTCTAGCTGATTGTCGAAAACACTCAATGATGTCATTCACAATCACGAGAAAGTTAAACCTGTGAAGCTCGAGAAACATGGTTTCTTCTCGAGAAACATGGTTTCTTCTCGAGAAACCCTTGTCTTCTTTGAATTTTCTCAAATGGGTGGAAGGTTCCATCAATGGTGGCAAGATATCGGATCTCCTTATATATCATGGAGTCCGAAACCCTAAAGAATAGAAGGAAAGCTAATGTGAGGGGAGAGCTTGGAGGGGACTAGGTTTGCTTCTAGTTTGGTAAAGGACGAAATTTTGATGATGTAGGTGAACATTGAATTTGGGGTTTGGGGTCGTTTTTTGGTTTGATTCTCTTTTGTTCACAAGTAGGAGGATGATGTTGTGGTGAATGGAGAGGAAAAGGGAGAGATAAAGACGGGTTTCTAGAAATTTTCATGGTTATTTTAATCATTGTCTTTGGATTTATTGGTGATAGAAGGAGCTGAGGAACTAAGGTTTTAGGGCCAATTTAGTATTGTTTTTTAGCGTTCTTCTGCTTATTCTTTTTTATAAAAGTAGTCAATAATGGTGTTTGGTAAACTTTTTTTTGCATGCTTATTGAAACTGTTTCTGCTGGTAAGGTGGTGCTTTTAGAAGAAAACTGAGAATGTTTTTAAAAACAACTTCTTTTTGTAATTTATAGACCATATATACCTTTTAGTTTTTGACAACCAATAAACATGATATTGAAGTTTGGTGTATTTTGGTCATTTTCACTTATAATGATCTCTAAGCATAGTTTTAACAAACACCTTAGTTGCTTTTGGAATCAGTTTTTGATATAAAATTACTAAATAACTATTTGCAGTAGCTTATATAAGTTGCTTCTGGAAGCTGCTTATATAACCAACTTATTATAACCTCAAGTAATATTAAAGTGGCCCTTAGTTGTTTTTGTGTGAGTAGAGATGAAAAGGGGAGGGGAGGTTTTGTGAGGGGAGAGCTTGGAGGAGATTAAGTTTGCTTCTAGTATGGTGAAGAAGGCATTTTTTTTATGATTGAACGTTGACTTTGGGTTAGAGGTTGTTTTTGGGTTTGGTTTCTCTTTTGTTCATGAGGAAGAGGAGGTTGATTTTCTGCTGAGTGAAGAGGAAAAGGGAGAGATAAAGATGGGTTTCTCGAAGTTTTCATGGCTATTGTAATCATTGTTTTTGGATTTGTTGGTGAGTGGAGCTGAGGAACTGTGGTTTTAGTGGTTTTAAGTGCAAGTGGAGATGAAGAGGGGGAAGTGAGATGGTGGTAGAGGATCAGATCCTTCTAAAAATTGACTGCAAGTGCACATATTGTTGGGATTAATTTTTTGTTTTTAATTTTTATTTTTGGGTCAGGTATACCTAATCTATCGTACACGTAATTTCACTTCCAAATCTAATTGTTAATTTACTCCTCAAATTTCCAAACTGTATCTGTGTTTGTTGCTCTATTATATATGTATATTCGTATTCGTTTGCGGATATGGATACATATACAATCTTTTCTCGCCGAAGGAGTTGTATCCGTTTCCGATTTTAACAAGCGGATATGAATATGGTAAATGCCATACCCATTCATATCCGAACCTTTTGCCTCCCCACCTTTATGCATCCTAGTAGTAGAATTCAAACCTATGTTTTTTCTATACTTTGGATCCCTCCTAAACTTACTGCCTTAAGTTGGGGACGCTAGTATTTGGATTTTACATGGTCTGTTTTACCTGCTCCTGTGGTGCTTTCCTCAAAACCTTGGGGTAAATCCTGTGTTATTCTTTTTGCTTTAGCGTGTAAAATATGCTGCTCCGGCGGGAGGAGGAATTTGCTAGTCTGTTGTTTTAGAGTACCCTAGAAGCTATTTTTCCTGGTTTTAACTTAAAACCTTTTTGAGAAATGGTATACACGGTGTCGTCAAATATGGTTGATTACTTTGTACTGTGTGTATATTATCTCCAAGATAAAAGATGTTTGATGGACCATAAGATGAGTATGCTATCTTGCTTGTCTAGGGTTTGCACTCTCTCATATTTCATGTGAAACATGCTGTTGGTGCCCAAGTATCACATGAACATGTTTATTACATACTGGGGGTCTGTGGGTTCACCTTATCAATATGTGATTTCGTTATTTCAGTAATACTTGTTTGGATTTTGTCAGTATTGTTTTAGTACAAAACAAAACTGAACATTCTCAAAATCCTGGTAAGTGTAATATTTTCCATTTGATCATATTTTAGACGCAGTTACTCGAAGTGTTTCTGGATCCAAATGTCTCATTCTAGTCTGTTTTATAAATAAAATGAAATCTGCATCTTCGAGAATTGCTTTTGGTGCTTTGAGTCGCATTATTCATCAGGGATTGCAACCAATTGTTAAGCTAGTACTAATACACGAGACTCTTTACTGAACTTTGTTGGCGTTCCAACCTGCTTGACCCTTTTTATTAGAATTCTAGCAACTTTGAGTGCTTTTTTTTGATTTGCTCATTGAAGTGCGCAATGCCCGTGGCTAGCTTCGAGTCCCATGCTTCTTGAATAAGCACCTGTAGGTGCTTTCTGGTGCAATCTGTTTCCTACTTCATGTGATTTGGATTCCTCAAAGTGCTTGTGTTAGTTGTGGCATTAGTAGTTTATAACTTGGTTGCAGCAAGTGCTTTTTTTAACTTCAGAACTTCAACTAATTTTTGTTATATGTCATTATAAAACTAGGTCTAAAAGCGTATGTTAATCTGTAGGCTCCTCTATTTTCTCCACGGTGCATGGGTCTTTGGCATTTCGTCTGTCATTTCGTTGGCGTTCTCATCCCATTAACTCGTGCTTATGTATATTACGCCTCTCGCCTGAACCTATTACTTAAATTCTGCTCCTATATAGAACTGTTTTGGAACTCATTTTGACTATTGGCTTAAGGATCTTGTTATGATATTCAATTACCGCCGTCTTCCTTTCGAACTTATTATCATAACAGTTTCATGATTTATGATGTATTGTGGTTGAAACATACGTACTTTCCTGGCGTTTCGCAGATCCCTTAATCATGGTTAGTTGTTTTACGTTTATGCACACCAACTGGCTTTGAACCCTACACAGGATTGAAGGTGCAATTTGCTACCGGTTATCTACCGGAAATTCGAAAACTGAAGATGAGAGTAGCGCTTCTAAGCTTCTGATCTTTGTAGGTAGTATTAGCAGCTTATTTCTACGTGTTTGATCTTAGCCGATGATAATCCTACAGTTTTCGAAGTAGTCTCTCTCGAACTTACTGCTATGTTTTTATGAGTCTTGGTAATTTGGATCTATGGTTTTTGCATAATGCTAACTGTATAGTTGGAGAATCGCAATTAATTCTTGTTATCTTTATGATGAGATGAAGGTTTGAAAGTACAGATGCATCATAAAAACAATGATCAAAGCAAAATTTGACTTTTCAGTAAAGCCTTCCTATATAGTTTCGGCCTCAGGGGAACAAAATCTCAATCACCATATCAATTTGACGGAACATTTTCTCTAGCGCAATGCCCGATTATTTTCCTCTGACCTATCACACTCGTTTGATTATTCTTTCAAGTACCGATCGAAGTGAATAAAATCCATCCTATAGAGAGCCTGTGTTGGAAATCGTACACGGAAAGCAACAGAGAGTAGGGGTGTGCAAACGGTCGGTCGGTTCGGTTTTTAGAATAACCGAACTGAACCGCCCATTGTTCAAAACCGAATCAAACTTTTGCAAGTCGGTTCGGTACGGTTTGGTTAGGTTTGTTCCGTTCTAATCAATATGCATTCTAAATTCCAATTAAAGTAATGAAACAAGCAATGTGATTGACTAGTTGGGTTATGTTATGACATAATGAGAGCTAGATTTATGTTCGTTACTGATTCCAATTGTGCTCGTACTCCAGAAATTGGTACGAGGAGAATGATTACAATAGGGCATGAGTTCAGGAGGCTTATACTACAATAATAGCAATCCTAATCAAGTTGCTTGCTTGAGTTTTGACCTTGCCTTTGCGTATTCACCGTCAGTTGAGACATCCGTTATCATAGATTCCGCAGAGATACAACCTGAATCTTGAGTCACGGCAAATCTTCGGACCGTTAAGGCTTGTCAATTCCATAAACACCAATAAGCTTCCTATTTTCCTAGAGTCATCCCAGAGTTAATAAACGATCAGGTAGTTCTTTGCTCCTGGACATTCATTGCCTAGTAAAATTCAAGATGAGTACAACTCGGCAAATACGGAACATTCAAGAATTAGGATCGGTATTGCACTGAACCTATACCAACAAATAACGATCCTTACAGATTTGAGCTATTCTTGTATCCTCTATGAATACTACAGACGCAATATTACGAGCTAGATCTTGAACTTTCTCAAAATCTGAAGTAAATAAATTTGGCTTAGCACCACGCATCTCTACTTATCTCCGTGCGGTACAAAAAATCTAATCTACTCCTCTATACTAATCCAATATTTATTGTTGAGGGTACGGTAAATACTATAGTAATACTATAGCATAAACATTAAATCTTTAGGTCCTCGTAGTACAAAGTAAATTTACTTTTTATACTACAATAATTTACTGTATCTTGAACAACACCTTTTAAATATAGAGGGGCAGATATTATTTCTAATTTTAGGTATACAACAATCAAATCAAATTAAACCTTAGAGGGAGACGGGTTTAAATTGCAATGCTTAAAGAAAAACAAAGGGTCATGCTTTGCACAGGGTAAACAGTAGTATGATAGATAAAAGAATAAAAATTTTTATGGGAGAACAGAAGCAAAATATCGATCTAGTAATTGTCCAACATGCACAGAATATGGTACTTAACAAAAGTAACATACTAGTTAAAAGATCAGAGGGTCACCACGGTGAAGTATTACAAGGTATGCTCAAAGCTACAACCATTAGCTACCAAGATACAAACCAATACCTACTACATAATGCATTCTCCTTCCATAACCCTGCCAGCACCAAATGACAATTTTTTTTTCAGTTGGGTTCTCCTGATTTCAAAAAAGTTCAACGAAGTGCTTCCTTTTACTCTGAAATATACATTCTAGTCCTCATTTAGGATTCCTGAGAACAATGATAACTGAATCCCCTCGAAGAAACATCTTACTGATGAATCTATCCTTGTTAACGGGGAGTGCTTTCTTCTTACCCTTCCCAGTTTTTGGAACCTACAAATCACCAGAACATTAATCACGAGAAAGACAAATACATGATATAAATGAATCTAAAAAGTACTAGGCAAAAAGTCGGGGTTTTAAGATACCTCAGTCCACATTTCTCTTACGTTTTCCAGAACCATGTTGCAGTGGCGGTCAAAAGCCCTGACACGACCGAGAAGTTTCTTGTTGTTACGGCAATTGATCAGCACCTGGATAGAAAATTACATGTACAAGAGTTAAGCTTCTTTCTAAGTTAAGAATTTTTTTTATTAAAGTGGTGTAACATATGAAGCAATTTGCTAGTTAAGCAAAATGAAAATGAGAAAATCTTTTTCCATTGGCATTATATGACCCAAACTTAATAACTATGCTATTTTATGTGCATTGACCCAGCAAAATAAAAGAGAAAAATCCTCATCCTAAAGCATTATTTTGCACCAAGGATATCATTACTTGCTATTATTTGATTCTAATAACCATTACTTTCTGAACTGGTTATAGCATAAAATATAATCAGCATCAATCATCATTTTTTCCCCAATAGAAGCAAAGACTTTCGACTTGACTTCTCTGAAGATCGGGGATGGAAACAGATATTCCTGGCTTCGTATAAAAATGAAAGAGAAAATCCTCATCATATAGCATTATTTTGCTCTAAGTATATCATCACTTGCTATTACTCAGTTCTGAAAACCATTACATTCTGAACTGGTTGCAGCACAAAATACAATCAGCATCCATTATAATTATTCCCAATAAAAGCAAGAATTTGGGAAGTGAATTCTCTGGAGATCGGGGATAACATAAATACTATACTGGCTTCATATAAAAATGTAAGAGGGAAGGCACATATGCCTTACCTGGGTGTTATTCTTTACGCTCATCGCCAGAACAGAGAGAGGTCCCGTATTGAATTCCTCTTCCTCTTTCTTTGCAGCCTGTCAAAGAAAGATTTAGGACAGTATAACAACTTAGTAATGAACAGATTCAGTCAGACGAGGATATAAGCTTTCTGTGTGCTACGAATAACCATTATCAAAATAGAACACAACAAATGCACCCGATAGAAACGTTACCAGTTGTTGTACTCTGCTGCATGCCAAATGAAATTATAGAACTACGGCAGGTTTAGTTTCATGTTTCTTCTAGTAGTTAATGTAAAAGCTTCCACTTGGCGACGTGTTTCAGTCGTTATTAATAGTGAGGCAAAACTTGCTAAGTTTACAAATGTAGTTTGAAATTAAATATGCAACTATTTTTTGAAGAATCAGTTTTCAATTACAGAATGGGGGCATTTAAGCAAAGAAGCATATCCAAAGATGTTGTCAAACAATATTTTAGAACTATAACGCTGTTTCACGAACAATAATCAAAGAGTTAGCTATGTGGATGAAGACATATAAACACAAGGGGACACATTGCATAAGAAGCATAGGAACTTCTCAAGTGAAAGAAAGTGAGATTTAGATGCAACAAGCATTTAGAAGGGCAACCTCGATGTCCATGACAGTAAACATAGATATGCTACTATTTTTTGATTGAAGAAGTTCAGTAATAAAACTTGTTATCTATTCGCACTGCTGATGATGCACGGAAACATTAATAAATAAAAACCATAGGGAGAAAACTGAGGGACAAAGTTTTTACTAAGCAATTAAACTGAAGAACAAAGTAACCATGTATGTAAGTATGGTGTACAAAAAAAGAAGGGAAAAAAGGAGCCCACATTCGATATATTAAACCAGAGAAATTTTAGAGATTGACTTGCATAACAAGGAGGATAACCGAATAAACTCATCGAGCAAATAGTGTAATAAGAGTGTGGGTATTTATATGTGTCTCTGGGAAGTTAGGAAGATAAAATCAACAGAGAACAAAATAAAAGGTTATTGAACAAATGCGACCTCACAGGACACGGAAATGTAACCACAGGAATTCGTAGCTAAAATAAAGTGATATATAAGAAGGTTTTTCTTTTTCCTTTTTTGAGAAGAATAAAGAAAAATAGTTCACAAAGACGAAACTAAAACTTATATGGCAAGGAAAAAAATAAGTAAAGTTGAGATCCATAGCAGACAACATTTGGGAAATAAAATTATGTCCTGTGCACCATTATTCCAAATGTATATTTTTACGGTATACACTGTTAACGCCTCCAAAATATATTTGATTTAGACGATCTAAAATGTACAAGATAAATGCAAAGTCACGATGCATAATTTCATGTAGCTCTAGCATACTGTGTTTTTATATATTTAAAAGAAGAAGCCATGTAGGGGTCAATTGTAAATGTCTTATAACATGCAAAGAACCAAGTCAAGAGTTAGATGAACTTACAATGGCATCATCCTCCATTTGCACACTGCATCCAAGAAAACAATAATGCATTAGGACACCACAATAATGCAAATTTCATGCAAAATAAACATATTATCTGCAGAAACTAACTATAACACTTAACATTAATGATATCTATTCCAAAAGAAAACATGGTAGGCTAATAAATGAATAGAAAACCAAAAGAAAAAAGGCCTTTAAAAAAGGCCTTTAATTAAACAAAAAAAACTAATGTGATAAGAAATAGAAAATCCCAAATGTGTGTATATCACATGACAAACTTAAATGTAAAACAGCCCAATATTTTAAGACTTGGAAAAAATAAAATCTAATGAAACCTATCACTGAAGCTAACAATAGAATGCATCCTCTGACAAGTTTGACTTCTAAAAAAGGTTAATAGAAAGGAAGGCAAAATCAATAGAGGTAACAGGCAAGGATAGTAAGGCTATGTTTAATTTGAGCATGACAAGAAAGGATCCAGATTGCTCAATATATTTCTCTAGAAATCAGTCATTCCTCTCCTCTGTCCTAGCATTTCAAGTAAATTTTTATTTTCACGATAATTACGAGCAATTAAATATTTTCATGACACGTAAATTTTCAAACCACTTTCACAACCATTTGTTTAACAAAGCTCTACTCATAATACCCAAATCCAAAATACCCAGACCTCCACAATATCTGGGTTTACACACCTCACCTTAAGCTGCCAAGTTAGAACATCCTCTTTGACATCCAGTCCAACTCCAAGAGAACCTCCTTCTCACCTTATCAATCCTATCAATGACCCATTTTGAAATTTAATGAAAGATAACCAAAGAAGGCACGGCAGAAATTACAGAGTCAAACTAATATCAACCTCCCTCCTCCGGACGAAGAATTGCCTTTCCACACAGTTGGTCTCTTCTCAATCTCCTCAATTAAAGGATACCAATCATCTCTATCTAATTTCCTAGGTCTCAATGGAATATCCAAATATGTAATTAGAAATGAACCAATATGAAGCTACTTGATTTTGTAGTTCCGCGTTTTCCTATAATAAAATAACCAAAATTTTAGAAAAATTAAAAAAAACATACAAAGCATTTTCAAAACCAACAAATGATCACTTTTCTCCTTGCAGAACATCACCATATCATCTACATAGTGAAGCTTAACAATTTTCTACCATTCAATCAGGTCCCAACCCCAGAAACAACCCTTCTGAAGAGCAATTCCCAAAAATTGTGTGAAAACATCAGCTACTAAAAACAAAGATGAGAACCAAAGTTACTGCGTCCGACCAAAACTACTCAAGACCAGGGACCATGCAAGCATTTTTTAAAAAAAAAGACTCATCTTTACATAAAATTACGACAACAAATCACTGCGAATCAATCCAAGATCGGATTTTGAAGCAAGAGCTGAATCAGTAGAGATCTGAAATGGGGATCGGGATTGGAATCGAAGGACGGGGACTCACCGATTGGGGAGAGGAAAGGAGGCAACAATGAGGAGCGATCTCAAATGGATCCGCGATGATAACGGCGAAGAGGA